TGGAGAGGGACTCCTGAAGATACCCAATAAAGACAACTCGTGCATTTCCATACCAGTAGGGAATTATACAGGTTGTGACAAAACTTCACTGTAGGGCACAGTCCTCGGAACAATACAGCGAATAAAAAAAAAAAAGTAGATTCTGAGCGAAGAAGTGAAGCAAGGCATACAGCGAGTATCCAGACTGCAACAACAAAAGAGGGAGAGATCAACACAACACTGTAAGTCATACAGAAGATGTTGTATGAGGAGTCAGCTGTCTTCAGTAAGGGTGACGATGACATCGGATGCATTCCCAGTCTACAGATGTCCATTATCCTTCAGGATGATGTCCCTGTCCAAAGAGCGTATTCTGCTGTGCCACAACCCCTGTTTAGTGAAATAAAAGGCAATATACAAGATCACCTAGCCAAAGGGTGGACTGTCAAGTCCAAATCGCCATATGCTGCTCCAGTGGTTTGCGTTAGGAAGAAGGATGGAAAACTCCGGCTTTGCGTGGACTACCATCTCCTGAATAAAAAGACCATCCCTGACAGACACCCATTACCTAGAATTCAGGAGTTAACTGACACGCTTGGAGAATATTCTTGGTTTAGTATCTTGGACCAGGGTAAAGCTTACCACCAGGGCTTTATTGCTGAGGGGTCCAGACATGTGACTGCATTCAATACACCTTGGGGGATGTATGAGTGGGTCCGGATTCCATTCGGCCTGTCAAACGCGCCTGCTGCTTTTCAACGTAGCATGGAGGAGATGCTTGATTCATTGAGGGATGAATTCTGTAGATGATGTCCTGTGTTATGCAAAGTCCTTTGTCGAACACGTTAAAAGCCTCAGCAGAGCATTAAGCGCCACGGGGTGAAGTTGAAACCCGAAAAATGTGAGATGTTTCGGAGAGATGTCAGATATGTGGGGCGCCTGGTGTCATCTGAAGGTGTGCGTGTGGATCCAAGGGACCTAGAAGCTGTACAATCTCTGACTTACAAGACTCCTCAGACAGTGGGGGACGTACATTACCGAACATTTATTCAGGCCTTCTCCAGAGTCGCAAAACCCCTATATGAATTGCTGCAGAAAAAAACAGGGACTGACCAACATGCGCTCACCTGGAGGAAAGCTAAAGGACCACAAGTCTCCTTAAAGACTCCAGTGGAGTGGACCAGAGAGCACCAGCAGACCCTGTAGAGGCTAATTGGTATGCTAAAAGAACCACCAGTGTTGGCATATCCAGATTTCAACCTACCTTTAACACTCCATACTGATGCATCAGAAGAGGGCCTGGGGGCTATCTTGTACCAGTGAAAGGAGGGAAAGTTGAGGGTTATCAAACATGGATCAAGAACACTGACGACCGCTGAGAAGAACTATCCGTTACACAGTGGCAAACTTGAGTTCGCATTTAAGTGGACTGTATGCGAAAAACTTAAGGACAACCTGTTTTATGCACCAAACTTCGCTGTATATACTGATAACAACCTGTTGACGTATGGGATGTGCACAGCAAAGTTGAATGCAGTGGGCCATCGCTGGGTTGGGGAGCTATCTGACTTCCGGTTTAACATCAGATACCGGCCAGGCAGAGCCAACATCGATGCAGACACATTGTCCCGTCTGCCCCTGGACATCGAAGCATTTGAGTCAGAGTGCACAGAAGAGTTACCTACCAGCGTAGTACAGACTGCTTGGAAGGGTAGTCGTGTGTCAGGACATAAAGATGTGGCCTGGATCGCTGCTTTGTATATGTCGACTGCAAAAGAGGAACTACAGCCATTGACCACTTACCTGCCGACAGTTGGTTTGGAGGAACTGGTTGCAGCCCAACAAGAGGACCCAGTGATTTATCAAGTATGACAGTGGAAAGCCGATGGGGTCATGCCAACAGAGGAAATGAGAATAAGCCTGACAGGAACCAGTAGGAAGCTTATGTATGAATGGAATAGGCTGCATCTGGAAGGGGGGCTTCTCTATCGAGGAACAAAAGAGAGAAAACAGTTAGTTTTACCAAGCAAGTATAGGAAGTTGGCCTTGGAGCACCTCCATGACAGGATGGGACATGTGGGAACAGAGAGAGTACTCAGCTTGGTGAGGGATCAGTTCTACTGCCCATACATGAAACTGAGATAGATGGGTATGTGACCAGGAGGTGTTCCGCATAAAGGACAAGAAACCTACCACACATGTCCAAGCGCCGATGGGCAGTATTACAACACACTCACCTATGGAACTGGTGTGTATCGACTACCTTGATTTGGAGTCGAGCCGAGGAGGGTATGAATATATCCTTGTATTCATGGACCATTTCACCAGGTTCGCTCAAGCGTATCCAACCAAAAACAAATCAGGACGTACTGCAGCAGAGCGGCTGTTTCAAGACTACATCCCCCGCTTTGGATACCCAGCCAAATTACACCACGACCAGGGGCGAAAATTTTAAAATTAATTGTTCCAGAATCTTAAGACAACTTGATGGCATTGGTCACTCCTGTACCACCCCATATCATCCCCAAGGAAACCCTGTGGAACGATTTAACCAGACCCTCTTGCAGATGCTGAGAACACTGACAGACAGGGAAAAAGAGAGATGGAAGAACTACTTGCCTCAAGTTGTACATGCCTACAACTGCTCACGGCATGAGTCTACGGGGTACTCTCCATTCTACCTGTTGTATGGACGGCATCCTCGCCTTCCATTGGATCTGATCTTTGGTCTTTTGGAGCCAGAAGAAGAACCAACTCCAAAGGGGTATGCAGAACAGTGGGCCCAGAGAATGACAGAAGCATACAAGACTGCAGAAAGTCATAATCATCAGTCAAGCGCAAGGGGGAAAGCTCAGAACGAATGTTAAGAGAGGAGTTGTGCTGAAGGCAGGAGAGAGAGTACTCGTCAGGAACCTCGGAGAACGGGAAGGCCCGGGAAAGCTGAGATCCTACTGGGAAAAAGCTGTATATGTGGTAAAGGAACAGGTGACAGACAACCCCGTATACATAGTATATCGGGAGAACGGTAACAGCAGAAAGACCAGGGCGCTACATCGAAATCTGTTGTTACTGGTGAATGCCTTACCTGTGGAAGCTCCAGCGACGAAACCTGCATCCATGGGACCTGAAGGAAAGAAAAAGTCAGAGACATACAAACAGCAACAATGTCGACAATGAAGATAGTGATATGCCAGACTCTGATGAAGAGAGCAGTGTAAAAGGATAATGGTTGAAGACTCCAGTCAGCTTGTCATCAACAGGGAACAATCAACTTCTGGGGAGAATGCCTGTAGGGCAGTGGTCTCAAACTCAATTCCTGGAGGGCCACAGCTCTGCAGAGTTTAGCTCCAACCAGCTCCAAATCACACCTGCTTGGAAGTTTTTAGTGATCCTAAAGACCTTGATTAGCTGGATCAGGTGTGTTCCAGCCTACATCAGCCTACAATTCACCCCAACACCACACTAAACTCAATCACTGCTTATCCCATTCCACATGTGCCCGTTTGGGGTTCATACGGTTATAGCATGCCCCTCATTTGCCCTCTCTTATACTTACCTCAAGTAAACACACCTTGTGGGGTTACAACGGCTGTTTATTAAGACTGGGTAATGTTTGGTCAAGAGGAAGGTTGGTTTTCTTTTTTTTTGTCAGGGAGAGTGTGGTACCCACAGAAAGTGTGTACATGGTTTTATAAACATTCATGAATTCCTTAATTTTTTTATATGGACAAAGGGAAAAAAAAAAACTTTTTCTATGAATAATTTGAGCAGAGACACTTATTTTAGAATGGGAAGATTGCATTTAGGGGCCGTCTTCACAGCTACTCCTAAAACAAACAGAGGAGCTGGCAGAGAGCAGACGCGATTCCCATTTCAGTTCTTTGTTTCCTGTATTTAAAGTAATCCGTCCACGAGGCTCCGGAGGTTGGACCTGCAACATAATATTGATTTTATACAAATTTAATAAAGTTAGCTTTAAGTGACTTACATTTTAGACACAATATTGCCTGTTTTTTATCAATTTTGCCAACGAAAATAGTTCCAAAGATCACAGTACCGTTTTGCGTCTTTGAACAACACACAGGACGGTGTTTCCTTACTGAATGAATCAGCTTTTTGAACAAATCAGTTGAATGAATGATTCAGTGGCTCTCAAACCTGTCCTGGAGGACCCCTAGCCCTGTACATTTCCCTTATGTCTCCCTTATCTATGGCTCCTTTATCTAACACACCAGATTCAACTCATCAGCTCGTTAGTAGAGAGACATACAAAATGTGCGAAGAACTAACGGCCATGACCTTTCCAACAGGATTACGTAATGTGTGACGACGCGCATCGCAGAGCTAGAGCAAGCCGAGCATTTGTGGTTAAAAAGTGGATAAATGTTAATTTTTTTCAGAAAATGACCAATTGTTTGCTAGATAAGACCCTTATTCCTCGGCTGAGATCGTGCAGAGCCCTTTGAAGCTGCATTGAAACTGCATTATTTACCTTGAAATCGTTGGCCATCATTGGAAGTCCAGTATATGGAGAAAATTCCTGGAATGAAAGAAAGAAAGACATGATCATCTTGGATGACATGGGGGTGAGTAAATTATCAGGAAATTTTTATTCTGGATATGGACTTATCCTTTAACACAGTCAAATGCTTCGTTCCTGGATGAATCAGCTGTTTGAAGTAATCGTTTGATTCCTGGACACGTAGTTGTAATTCATAGGCAGGGATTATGCTAATTGTGAATGAGCGTGCATGCACGCTCTGTTTACGAATGACTCAAATTCATTAGCATACATGTTTAACTATCAAATCTGATGTTTTAGAAACGTTTCTGAATCCTTTAAGGTTTATCTTTCCATTAAGAGAACATGTAACTGCCATATGAACATCCAACTCATTTGCACTCATTAATCACTTTATCCATTCTTTTATCTGGCAACATGTTTACCTAATCATTGAAATCAAATAACACAGTGCAGAGTTCATTATAAGTTTATGTCCTTTTATTTCTAACAAAAATTAGTTGAAGAAGTGGACAAAGTGGACAATCAGATGTAGCTCACATTCAGCTGTGGTGTGAACAGAGCCTTAATTTCACACACGTATACATTTTCTTTTGCTTTACTATTTCACAAAGAACACAATTTATATGTCTTTTCATATGCATCTGTTAAGTGTGACGGCAAAAGAAAAAAATGTTATACTGATCACAATTGAACTGATGTTGTTCAGAATGAATGCATATGGCTCAGTTTTGTAAATCAACTTCTAAAAACAAATGTCTCGCTGTCCTTGTAAAGAAATATGCAGCTTTGGAGCCGCTGCTGTGACGCTGTACAAACTCTTCCGTTGTGAATACTTTCACGAGTCTGCAGCGACGCTGACGTGAAGCTCACGCTTGCGGTGTGCGTAAGTCTGTAAATGATGTTTCAGGCCTGAGTGATACATGAAAGTCTTCTCACACTGAAGACACTTGTAAGGCCTCTCTCCAGTGTGAGCTCTTATGTGAATCTTCAGGTTTCCTTTGTACGGGAAACTCTTTCCACACTGAGGGCAGATGAATGGCTTCTCTCCAGTGTGAACTCTTACGTGATTCTCAAGGTACGCTTTGTTTGCGCAAGTCTTTCCACAGTGATCGCACATGAAAGGCTTCTCTCCAGTGTGAGTTTTTACATGATTCTTAAGGCATTTTCTGTCTTCGAAGCTCCTTCTACACTGATGACATATAAAACCGTTCACTCTTGTGTGAATGGAATGGTTAAGGTTTCCTTTAAATCTGATAGTATGATATTGCATGTGGACATTAAGGTTTTTTTTGTGTGTGTAACTCTTTTCACACTGAGAGCATGTGAATGGCTTTTCTCCAGTGTGAGCTCTCATGTGAGTCTTAAGATTTCCTTTTTGTGAGAAACTCCTCCCACACAGTTTGCAGGTGTATGGGCACCGTCTAGTGTGAAGACTCATGTGGGCATTAAGGTGTTTTTTCTGTGTAAAACTCTTTCCACACTGAGAGCAGGTGAAAGGTCTCTCTCCAGTGTGAACACTCATGTGGGCATCAAGGTTTCTTCTGTCAGAGAAACCCTTTTCACACTGTTGGCAGGCGAAAGGCTTCACTCCGGTGTGAATTTTCATGTGCCTGTTAAGGGTTTTTTTGTGATTGAAACTTCTTCCACACTGTTGGCAGGTAAAAGGGCTCTTTCCAGTTTGAACGTTCATGTGGCCTTTAATGTTTCTAGTTCCTTCGTTTTGTGAGGACATCCTTTCAATCTTTGAGTCGCTAAAATCTTTTTCTCCAGTCATGAACTGATGAGGTTTCTCATATTGATATTCTTCTTCCATATCATTGAGATCTTGACTCTCCTCTTTCAGTGGCATCAGGTCTAAAGCGGAAAGAAACATATACAATTTAACCCCAGTTTAATAGTGTAAAACTCTTTCCACACTGAGAGCAGGTCAAAGGTCTCTCTCCAGTGTGAACACTCATGTGGGCATCAAGGTTTCTTCTGTCAGAGAAACTCTTTTCACACTGTTGGCAGGCGAAAGGCTTCACTCCGGTGTGAATTTTCATGTGCCTGTTAAGGGTTTTTTTGTGATTGAAACTTCTTCCACACTGTTGGCAGGTAAAAGGGCTCTTTCCAGTTTGAACGTTCATGTGGCCTTTAATGTTTCTAGTTCCTTCGTTTTGTGAGGACATCCTTTCAATCTTTGAGTCGCTAAAATCTTTTTCTCCAGTCATGAACTGATGAGGTTTCTCATATTGATATTCTTCTTCCATATCATTGAGATCTTGACTCTCCTCTTTCAGTGGCATCAGGTCTAAAGCGGAAAGAAACATATACAATTTAACCCCAGTTTAATAGCACATAGCAACAAACAAACAAACATTTAGACATGTAACGCATCAAACACAACCACGTGTATGCTAGATCCTATACCCACAAAGTTACTGTAACCTGTAATCTCAGAACCTTATATTATATATTGTTAAGTCTGTTTTCTTTTGGACACGTCCCAAATTCTTTCAAGCTGGTAGTCATCAAAGCCCCTTATAAAATAAAACAAAAAAAAACAATAGGGGACTGCTTTGGGACTAGGATCCTGTGGGTCTAGACTAGGGTTGCCAACCGTCCCGTATTTTGGGCCTAATTGATTGTTCACCGATCCCTGTCATCATCCAATCACAGCCCCCCTCATGCAGTATACGTTAAGTAAATCAGAAATTGTGAACATAACTGTTCCGAGGAAGGCTGCGGAATCCTCTGCCAGCTCGTCGCTCCCGCCTCACAGCAAACGGTGCTCGCGCTAACGCCAATTCCGTCTGTGTTTTCAGTTCAGTAAGAGAGGTAAGACTCAAACCACTGGAGTGTGGTTCCTGAGATGCCCTTTGCCAATAGTGTTGACAGGAGGATCTGGAGGTTAACCGTGTCAAAAGCATCATCGATTAAAATCGAGTGAAATGTTTTATGTCTGTGATTCTGGGGTGCATGTCCCATACATAAACTAAAATACAAAACTACATGTGCAGTTTTTATTTTTACATGATTCCCAATTATTTATATTCAATTATGAAATAATAATTTTATGACAAATAAATCAGGGAGTAAAACTGGCTGTGTCTATAGTATTAAAGACTACACAACATTATTATATTATCTTTAAATACATTTTTAAATTATTATTATTTTAAATTATTGTCCCTGGATTAGTAGGACACTCTTGTAATACAATCTGTTCGCTACCACCACTACTTTAAGTATCAGTTCTGCTTAAAAAGATGCAATCTAATCCTGTTTACATTAAATATGCCTGCTCCCGAGCAGGTTTAAGATTACGGACCTGTTGCTATGACAGCAACTCCGGGATGAGCTTCGAAGAACCAAACAATCCAAGATCATGCCAAATTGTCAACAATCAAATCCAGCTAACGGAGTTAGCGACGTACGAAGAACGGGCCCCAGGGCAGTATTTTGATTTTCTGTTGTGATTGTGGAAAATGTCACCATTGTATCTCATTTATGCTGCATCGAGAATTGCAAAAGTAACTCCGATCTCTTTTCTCTGTGCAAAAACACCAAAGGAAGCAGGTCGCAGAGATGACGAGAAGACGCCGGATAGTAAATCTATCAATAATGTCACTGATTAACCCAGTGCCTGTCACTCAATAAAAGAATCACATTGCTGCGTGTCTTTGAAAGTTTTGATTTTGTTTGGTTTAATAATTAACATCACCTTCGCGAGTATGACTCTAACTCGGCTTGTGAATTAGCAGAACTTGGACAGGGACTTCAACACACTGACTGCATTGACTGCTTAACACAAATAACATTTCATGTGGCTTAATGTACCAAGACAGTGATAAAAACAAAATTGTAAATCATATACTATGTGCAGATATGCACATAAGCCCAAAATGTGAACGCAATGCGTTTATTTACACGTTAAGCATTTTCCTCTCATATAAAGAATGCTTAATGTACCGAGACAGTGATATTAAAAGACAACATTCTGTACACACCTTACTAATAAAGCATTATATGTGCAGAAAAACTGATGAACCCAAAATATGAACTTTAAATAGTCAATGCATAAGCGTTTTCTTCATTACGATTTTTTTAAATGATTTATTTATACATTTCAAAATACATTACAAAATAATTCAAACATTCCAAGAACACTTAAATATGTAGCAGTGAACAAATACATCAAATTATATTTTTCAAATTTTTTTTTTAATAAATAAATAAATAAAACACCCAGTACAATCCTACATACAGCAAATACAGTTCTACAGTATTGTATACAATACATACAGTTCTACATAAGCTATGTGCTTGCTGTGCTCTATCTTTGCCAAAACTGGTCCAGATATGTTTTACGATAACTGGGCCACATTTGCACCATTACATGTGGGCCACTTTTGGCTCACACCCAGATGAGCCAATTGTTAATGTGCCATATATTTGCCAAAACTGGCCCAGATATGTTTTACGATAACTGGGCCATATTTGCACCATTATATGTGGGCCACTTTTGGCTCACACTCAGATGAGCCAATGTTTAATATACCATTTATTTGCCAAAACTGGCCCAGGTAAATTTTAAGATAACTGGGCCACATTTGCTGCATTATATGTGGGCCACTTTTGGCAATAGAGAGGTTAATGTGAGCTAGCCTGTTCTTAGACCAATGGGCCCTGTGTAAATATTTGCCAAAACTGGCCCAGATATGTTTTACGATAACTGGGCCATATTTGCACCATTATATGTGGGCCACTTTTGGCTCACACTCAGATGAGCCAATGTTTAATATACCATTTATTTGCCAAAACTGGCAGAGGTCAACTGATCAAAAGAGGCAAAAACACCTTCAATGTAAAGGTCACCAATACGGACCAATCCAAGGTCTCTCCGTGAGGCCTAAGCATTATCCAAGATGGAAGGGTAGAACAAAGGATTGGAGTGTATTGAGGATAATAAAGGGGTATTATGAAGACTAAAATGACGCACAAATTGGGTCCAGATTTTAAGACTGTTTTTTACAATTACATTATTTGAATATTTCATTGGGGTCATTGTACATGGGAGGCATAAAAGGGAGGCCAAAGAGGAAGACTTATTACATGAGGCATTCTCAGTGTGCAGCCAAGAAGGTTCAAGTTAGATGAATGGACCCAATGCAGAGTAGAGCGTATGTTCGCTGCCCAGTAATATATTTGAAAATTTGGAAGGGCCAAACCACCCAATTGTTTTGACTTCTGAAGAATGGTTTTTCGAATCCTGTTTTTTTTTTTTTTTTGTTCCAGAGAAAACTAGAAATAGAGCTATTAAGTGTGACAAAAAAAGAATTTGGAATAAAAATAGGAATACATTGAAATAAGTATAAAAATTTAGGGAGTACGTTCATCTTAATACAGTTCACCCTACCAATCAAGGATATAAGATGGAGGGACCAGCGATTGAAAATCCTGTGTAAGATGATTAACTAACGGGACAAAGTTGTGATCAAATATGTCTGAAAAGTGTTTTGTCACATTTATGCCCAACTATCTAAAACACTGTGGGGAAGATTTAAAAGACAAAGATGCTAATGGGTATTCCAAGACTGCTTTATTAATGGGCATCAATTCACTTTTATTCAAATTTAGCTTATAGCCCGAAATTGGGCCAAAATCTGTTAACAGATTCAACACCAAGGGAATGGAGGTACCGGGGTCAGAGACATATAGCAAAAGATCATCTGCGTATAGAGATAGCTTATGCTCCATCCCTCCCCTCCGTACCCTCCGTATACCAGCCATCGAACTGGATCTTAAAGCAATTGCCAAAGGTTCAATGGTGTGGGAGATGTGTATAAAAGCCTAATCCAAGCTATAAATTGATCGGAAAACCAAATTTCTCTAGTGTGTAAAACAAATAGCTCCACTCGACTCTATCGAATGCCTTCTCAGCATCCATGGAGATAACTAATTCTGGAGATACATTTGAAGAGGAAGAGTAAAGAATATTCAAAGGGTGTCTAATATTATGAAAAGAGTGTCTATTTTTAATAAATCCTGTTTGGTCTGGTGAAATTATGTCAGGAAGAACAGTTTCCAAACGTCTTGCTAGGACTTTAGCTAATAGCTTAACATCAGAACAAAGTAAAGAGATGAGATGATAGCTACTGCACTTAGAAGGATCTTTATCTTTCTTGAGAATAAGGGAAATAATAGCCTGCCGTAAAGAGTGAGGAAGGATACCTGAACTGTAGGACTCATTAAACATGTTAAGCAAAAGAGGTGCTAATTTATCAGAAAATGTCTTTAAAAATTCTGCAGGGAAACCATCAGGTCCTGGGCATTCGCCCTTTTGCATTAGACTAAGAGCGTTTTAATTTCATCCAATGAAAGTGGAGCTGCCAAATCAAAGGAAATATCAGAATCAATACGAGGCACGTTTAGGAAACTGAAAAAATTATCGAGTTGAGCCTCTTCAACTATGTTTTCTGAGGTAAATAAAGAAGCGTAAAAATCTCTGAACTGGTCATTCATAGTTAGTGGGTTAACTGAAGGCCCAGTGGGGGTGGAGATTTGAGTAATAAAGTGTGAGGCCGCAGAATGACGCAACTGATGAGCAAAGCAATTTACTCGATTTATCACCGAATTCATAATAATTGTAATGAGTTTTATGGAGCGCATCAATTGCCTCATTTGTAGCAAGTAGACCAAACTCTGCCTTTGCTGTAAAAAAACTTAGCAAAGAGGTCTGAATTTGTCGAGTTGAGGAGGTCTGCTAAAGAATTAGAGAGCTTAGACCTTCTTTCATTCATCGTTTTTCTCTTATAGGTTGCATATGAAATAATTTCTCCCCTTAAATAAGCCTTACATGCCTCCCAAATTGTCTTCTTAGCTGAAACGTCTGGGGAAGAATTTGTGGAAATAAAGAGGTCAATACGATCGTTAATAGACGCTATAAAATCAGGATCATGAAGAAGTAAAGAATTAAAGCGCCAAGGGGATCGAGACATTGAAAAACCTGGAAGAGCAAGGTCAAATGTAACAGCAGCATGATCCGAAATTACAATAGTATTATAAATACATGAACTAACCAATGGGAGCAATTTATTATCAACCAAAAAGTAGTCGATACGGGAGAAAGAATGATGGACAGGGGAAAAGAAAGAGAATTGTTTGTATTAGAATTTTAAAAAACGCCAAACATCAGAAACCGCATATTGTTCCATAAAAAGCTGGATAATCCTGCCAGATTTAGACAGGGCGCAGGGCCTAGATGAGGAACGGTCTAGAAGAGGGTCTAGACAGCAGTTAAAATCCCCGCCCAGAATTAGTTGGTTGAAATGCAGATCAGGGAGAGAAAACAACACTTTTTTGAAAAAAAAAAAAAAAGCCTTATCATCCCAATTAGGACCGTATATATTTGCCAAACTCAAGCAGACTCTGTTAATCTGTCCTCTAAGAACAATAAAACGCCCATTAGTGTCCGAGATGACCTCAGCAACAGAAAAAGGTACATATTTATGGATGAGAATAGCTATACCTCGAGACATACTCTGGAAACTATAATGATAAAGTTGACCAACCCAGCCCTTTCGAATTCTTAGATGATGTGATGAGGTGTGTTTCTTAAATAAAGGCTATACTAGTATTCAAATATTTCAAATAATTAAGAACTTTATTTCACTTTACTTGGGGGAATTCAGTCCCTTAACGTTCCAACTGGAGAATTTCAGTACACCACGTGGTGCCACCTTATTACTCATCAGGGACTTAGATAACAAGTACTATGAACAAGACCAGGTTTCTGAGATGCCCCCCCACCCCACACACACAGCCCGGCCAACAACAATATGGCTTGTAGCGTTTGAGGATACAAAACACCACAATAATGATTGCACACACACACGCACAAAAAAAAAACAACAACAACCCTTAAACCCACCCTTGCACCAGCTGACAACAAGAACAGCAGCTGGGACCGCTTTACCATGAGAGCAGGCAAGTTCCCCAACTCCTAGTCCTCCCATAAATGGTACGTAACCTCAATTAATATTTATATCAAAAGTTACTGACAGGCTTAGACTTCAAAACAAAACTAATGTAAAATCGGAGTACCAACTATTTGTGGGGAAAGAAGATAGAGAAAAAATAGGTAAAATAATAATAAATACAATTTTATAATTAGAACCAAATGGTCTTTACAATAAGCAAGATTGTAACAAAGCGATGTCAACAACTCAGCTTTATCAAATTTAAGATACAGTCCAATGTAGAATTCACCAGCCAACGAATAAACGAGACAGCTCACAGTATCATAAAACCTGACTGAGCTTATTGTACATCCAAACTAAAATCCATGTGCACATAATTTATAGCCACACACACACACACACACACACACAAAAACCCCAACATGACAACTGTGAAAAAATGTCCAAATAACAGCAACTTTGTCAGATTCAGCGAACAGTCAGGTCTTAAATCCACAGGGCCAACAGCCCAGGATATCCTTCATATACTATAGAACAACAAGGCCAAAATATTCAAGGCTGCTCATAGTAGAATCAAGTCCACCGCACTTACATCTAGACTGAGCTCTGGATGAAGTCACTGGCTTCGGAAACAGAAGGCAACCATTTCTTCTCACCGTTTGGAAGCGTGATTCGCAATCTAGCAGGGTCGAGAAGCACAGGCTTGAGTCCGCGTTTGTAGAGCGACATCCTTATACTCTGCGCAAAGCTTTAAAACCTCAGGGCAGTAATCCTCAAAGATACAAATATTCGAATATTTTGGCGTCGGCTGCGGCTCTCAAGATCTGAAACTTTGGCCTTAACCCCTTAACTGTCACCCCCCATTTTTTAAAATAGGCAATAAAGTGCACTATCCAAACTTAAATTGTTGTAATTTATGAACACTTTGGAACACAGACCTAAAGTTTTTTTCAAAAAATTCAAGTATCAAAAAGTTATAGACGTTTAAATTTACTGTAAAGAAAATGCGCTATACTAATTTTATTTTATATATAGTAAATATTTTCCATAACAGGTTTTACTCTAAAATTGGTATAAAATTAAAGCCTTGTGTCTAAATAAGTTATGTACCAAATTTGAAGTTGATATGAAAAAAATTGAGGTTCCTGTGAGATTTTATTTATGGCATTATACCACAAACAGCCACCGGGTGCCATCAAAACTCCATTTAATTTTTTTAATGCATTTTTCTGTCACAAATGTCTAGATTTCTGTCAATATTACTTCTATCCACCAAATATGGAATCCTGAGACTCAGACCTTTCCAATGATATGTATTTTGTCAAGATTATAAAAAGTTTTGATTGTAAAATACCGTAATACATTTGGTAATATGACACTTGACACCGCCCACTAAGGGGGAGGAGACCGCCAAAAGATTTTAAAGTACCATTTCCATGGTAACGCAATGTCCGATTTCAAAATGGTTTTCAATATAATTTATGATGATTACTAAAAGATTTCATAGAGAAAAAGGACAACAAAAAAACACAGGTGGGACGGTGACAGTTAAGGGGTTGCCACTCATTATCTTTCTGGAGCGCCGAACATGTAGCTTCGAGTTGTTCAAGCGGCTGACTAATCTCTAGCTGCATCCCAAATGACGCACTATACACTAACACACTATGTACTTATGCACTATGTACTCAACCATGTATCGTATGAATTATATAAGGTTATTCTGTCATTCATAAGCGGAGTCTGATAGCCCCTCCCCCTTCGCTACGTAATTAGAGCTGCGACTGTTGAGTGCATGAAGTGTCCAACATTTCACACTTTGTTTTTTCGGTTATTTAAGAGCATCATCCGGGTATTTAAAGTGCACTTTTTCTTTTTGGAATTTTCAGTGTGAATGCACTACTCGCATTATTCATACTAAAAAACGTCATAGAATAGTGCATGAGTACACGATTTGGGACGCACCTACTGTAGTGCCGGACTCAAGATTACCGATGCGCAGATCATGGTCAGCCACTGTGGATTGAATGCTATCTAGTTTGGCTGCAAAACTTTCGAAAGATGCTTTGAACTCTGTGGCGACTGAGGCGCTAAGATCGTCATGTAAAGCAGTGATCTCGGCTAGCGTAATGCTAGCACTCGGCGAGAGAGTATATTTATAACCGAAAAGTTTACGAGAGTGAACCGCGTGCACGTCTACTCCTCAGGCGCCATAACCGTGGCCATGGAAAAACGAATATTTACAATGACAACAATTATACTTCGTCATTAAAACGTTTCCAACAAAGAAATTGATCGACTTCTGTCAGCTTGTTGAACACTTTTATTTGGATAATCTATGGCTGAAGCAGCAGCGCGCGACACCGTTTTCACGGTAATCAGATCAAAGTAAACGAAATCCTACAAAACTTAAGAGAAAATATCTAATTATCGTGCGACGCGATAAACTAGCTGCTCTTCCCTGCAAACGATCCAATGAAGAATGTGAATAGTTAACGTAAAGCCAAAAACAAAACAAAAGATAAGCAGGTATCCGTATTAATTTCAGCATTTGCAGCGGATTGTGATCCTCCCAGAATGCAACGCGGCGTGACGTAGCTTCACATTCTCTATATTCAGTTTTGCAGAATATCTGTTTTTGTTAATAATTTTGAATACTGAATATTGTTAGCTAAAAGGTGCTAATAACAGCATTCGTTTAATTTGTTTCTCAAAAGGAAAACACGTTTTACTATCTTACACCCTTTAAAAGGTTGTATTTCAAGGAATACTTTCAATGTTTTCCATTGTTTTTAATTCAGAAGTACAATTTTGTTCAACGTTAAACTAAATAATCGTTTTGTTTAGGCTACTTCTACTTCTAATGTGTGACATGTCACTCATTGCTGTAGAGCTGGACATTTTAATAAGGATCACATGACTGAGTTCATCTTTGAGAATGAAAACCAACCTGTTTGTTCCTCAGTATCTTCTTGTTTCAGACTGAACACTTCTTCAATCTTCACGTCTTCGAACTCCTCCTTAATGAACGCCATCTTTATAACAGTTACTTCACCAGTTTTTCTGTGTTTGGACAAAACAGAACGATTCAAGCAAACGATCTCAATCAGCTCCCTAGTTCAGTAGTCAGCGCACTGATAAGGGAGTCAGTCAAAGTAGAAGTTAATGGCATGATAATTATATATATATAAAAAACTAGCACAATACAAATGATCTACAAAGTTCATTATTAGGTATTTATGATTTATATAGTTGGTATTTGTAGATAGCATGTATTATATCAGATTTTTGTTAGTGCACTAGTTAAATACAGGTTTGTCAGAGTTATCATCACATGTCAGCGCACGGTGACCCAAGAGATTCGAATCACTGAATCGGTTCGCGAAGCAATTGATTCAATTGACTCCGAGTTTCTAAAAGCTCAGTTTCTCCATCACTTGCTCATCAATTCGTGTTTATGGTAAACTGATACACGATAAAGGAAGCAAAGTGAGGCGCACTTTTCTGTTACTGATGTGTGGATGCGTTTAATCCCATAAATAACGCTCATGAATGTTAGATGAAGCACTGCAGTTTTACATTAAACAATAATTAATTTTACATCGCTTATTAAAAACTATTGAAATTGCTCGAACGGGTTGTATAGGTGTAAACACTTAGCTTTAAATGGCTAAAAACACAACCCTTTTTTCAGTCGAATCACAGCGCGGCGCGGCCTTATGACGTCACACCATCAGAACAAAATAAAACTCCTAAAGAGTGCACAAAAAAATGTACAGAAAAATTTTTATATGGTAAAGTTTATATATGTTGTCCAGTGATGTTCTGAAAATAACTACCAATGAAATATATTCGCCTGTGTGAGATTCTGTCTGAAAGGTAATAGTGCAGAAACCATTTATAGAAAATTTGAAAATGATTAGTTTATCACTAAATATAAAATGTTTGTCAACCAAATGAAACCTAGAGTAGAGCAACAGACTTTATTAGATGCAACAATCATTAAGTAGCATATGTTTCAGTTTTATTATTTATTGTGTGCAGAAGAATATGAAACTTAAAGATTGCCTTCCATCAACATTCTGTCAAGTTGAAATTTATTCTTATATTTCAATATGCATTAAAAATTATATTTGAATGGCCTCCTCTGGTGAATTATGTGAATTACACTGCTGAAATATGTTTTTTTTTCATCTGCCATATTCAAGTCCAGACTGACATGTTTACATAATCATTGAAATCATATAACACAGTGCAGAGTTCATTATAAGTTTATGTCCTTTTATTTGTAACAAAAATTAGCTGAAGAAGTATAAAGAAGTGAAGGATGCAAATGAAAGAGTGGTCGTGAAAGTGGACAGATGTAATCAGATGTAGCCCACATTCAGCTGTGGTGTGAACAGAGCCTTAATTTCCTGTTGCTTTACTATTTCACAAGAAACACAAACAGGGCTCACTTTTATATGTCTTTTCATATGCATCTGTTAAGTGTGATGGCAAAAGAAAAAAAATATTACACTCATTCTGAAGGACATCAGTTCATTTGTGATCAATGTATATGCCTCAGTGTTGTAAACCTTTAGTCACACTGAGGCTAGAGCTCCGGACATCACGTGAAAAACATAAAAATAAGCGATGCATGAGTTTCAAGGCAACAGAGTACACTGCGCACTTTAATTCAAAAGACATAGACCTGTACATAGCAAAACGTAATAGATTAAACATAAGGCCCCTGGGGTGCTTTTAACGTACATACCCAGACAGCAGACAGTTTCGGCCCAGATCCGGCCCACATCTGGCCCGCATGGATTTCACATGGGCCAGATGTGGGCCGGATCTGGGCCAACACTATGTTGCTGTCTGGGTATCAATAAAGGAACGGATAGCTTTCCTGACCTGCAGTATCCTGATATCTACAACTAACATTACCTCATCCACTTTCCCTCATCCTACTCTGGAGACTCTTTAAAAGACCACAAAGGCCTGGAGGGGTACAAATGGACGTAATCAAATTTTTTGACGAATATTCATCTTTGGAGTCTGCCGGCTAAAACCTGCTTTGTCGTCACTGGAAGTGAAAGTCAACTGTGTTGTTAGCTAACGTAATTGACCCTAGCTGCCCTTGTAGGTAGCCACTGTGAGTACAGCAGACATCTCAAACCGTTTAATCCCAAATTTTGTGTTGAAAATTTTATTGCAGTGAACCATTTTAGTCGTCTATCGGGATCCTTAGGAATACGATAAAATGATGTCCCCTTAGCTTTATGGACAATCGTGCATAAATATATATATACACAACAGTTCGTTCTAGTTCTCAAATCTGATTGGTTGAGAACCGTGAGATATTGGCGGACACACAGATCCACTAAAATGTTAAAATAATACTGTTTTTGTGTCACGGAATGTAGTTTTAAGAGTTTAAGAGTTTTTAGGCGAGAATGTACTTGTTTAGACTTCAAATATACGGTTGGTTAATAAAGATAACGTCTATTTGAATATTTGCTTCGCCGTTTTCAGAGATGTGAGCTCCAGGGCGTCAGCAGCCGTTCAGCGCTCATGAACCCGCCGAGAGCAGCCTCACCTCGGCCAGATCTTCTGGAATTTACCGCTGGCTCTGATGTCCCTATAGTGGTTAAACATGAGATATAATTCGTTTTGGTTAAATCTGACGGGCAGTCTTTAGTCTCATTAATCTATTATTTGTTCCAGAGCAAATAGTTTCGGCTGAATGCAAAATCTCATCACGTTATATTTTATGTAACTTTAATGCTGTATATTAGGGCATGGCTTTTATGATGGCTGTTGTTGTTTATTATTCAATAAATAATATTTTATATACATAGTAGTATTTAGTATTGGGAAACAGTGTGTGTGTTCGTGATGGTGATTTTTGTGACATTGTTCCGCCATTAGATGGCGACAAGTGACTGTTTTACGAGTCAGCATTTAAGACTTTTATATTGAAAGAGACTAAAACGGAAGTTATTTTTTTTGCTTTCCTCAGCGGACATTCAAACTAATGTTTTATTGTGAATATGAGATTGAGCTGAAGAATGAATGCACTCAGTCCATCTCTCACAATACTCTACTCTACATGATACAGTGAGCTTTTAATTAAGTATTACAATAAGTTTTTAATGAAGAAACTCAACATTTCCTTCGTTACTAGTTCTAAAGTGACGTTTTCGAATTAGTTTAACAGCTGAGCTGAAGCTGTCAAACTGAGATTTGAATATGTGGCGGAAGGAAGTAGTTCCGCACAAAAGGTTTTTAAAGACACTCTGTTGTTGTTTTTCATATATATTTACACTCGTGCCGTCGAACTGTCATATAAACGCAATATATCACTCTCGTACTCGAGCGATACCGGCTCTATATCAGCGGCTGTGATTGCCTCTGGCCTCTCGTACTCGAGTGATATTGCTCATATATATATAACATATATATGTTTTTTTCTCTGTTTTGCAATAGTGAAAGACAGCTTCCCTTATTGAACACGTCTCGGGTAGATTGCATGTTTTCTTGCGCGGCTGGATGTTGGACTCATGAAAAATAATCACATTGTTTGTATTTGCCAAAACTGATGTACTGAAGTGAAAATATGGATGGTATTAGCTTTATTGCGAGCGCTGTTTGCTGTGAAGCGGGAGCGACCAGCTGGCAGAGGATTCAGGATTTCTTATTAACTTAACGAATACTGCGTGAGGGGGCAAGAAACGGGCCAAGGTATTGGCCAAACGGGCCAATATACGGGACGTCCTGGCTAATACGGGACGGTTGGCAACCCTAGCTGTCCCCTGCCTGTTCTGGCATCAGCAGCTGTCCACCATGTTGAAATAGTAAGATTTGTAAGGTTTAAATATTCTGGTTTTAAATTATTGTTCGACCACTGTCGATACCAATGCTACAGCCGCTCTAGCGCTCTCCTGATGGAAGTTTAGGTTGCGTGACGTCAACCTCCGGAGCTCTATAGACTGACAAGAGTTCTTCATCTAGCCAACATATTAAAAAACACAAAAAGTCAAAAGCGATAGGAAAGTTTATCAAGGAACAGCATTAAAACGGCTTTTAAAAACGTACTTCATGTAGTAGGCTATATCATCTAAAAACAAAACGATGCAACAATACCCATTTTACTTACTCAGACCATGCGTATATGTGCAGTGAAATTAACAATCAGCGTGGTCCGGTGAAAGACGGGACCTGAGGTGATTAACAGTTATTCCTGCCCAGGAACTGAAGTCGGAGTCACGCAAAGATAACGACAAGCAAGTCCTATTTTTTTTCTCTCGTGTAATCGACTATTGTTTTCAGTGTCTACTAGTAGGAGCTGTACCGTTTAGTCAACTAGACCCGCACATCCCTAGTGAATACTTTCACGAGTCTGCAGCTGCAGTGACGCTGACGTGAAGCTTAAGCTTGAGGTGTGAAACAGGCGCAAGTCTGTAAATGACGTTTAAGGCCTGAGATATACATGAAAGTCTTCTCACACTGAAGACACTTGTAAGGCCTCTCTCCAGTGTGAGCTCTTACGTGATTCTTCAGGTTTCCTTTGAACGGGAAACTCTTTCCACACTGAGGGCAGATGAATGGCTTCTCTCCAGTGTGAACTCTTACGTGATTCTCAAGGTACGCTTTGTTTGCGCAAGTCTTTCCACAGTGATCGCACATGAAAGGCTTCTCTCCAGCGTGAGTTTTTACATGATTCTTAAGGCATTTTCTGTCTTTGAAGCTCCTTCTACACTGATGACATATAAAACCGTTCACTCTTGTGTGAATAGAATGGTTAAGGTTTTCTTTAAATCTGAAAGTATGATATTGCATGTGGACATTAAGGCTTTTTTTGTGCGTGTAACTCTTTTCACACTGAGAGCATGTGAATGGCTTTTCTCCAGTGTGAGTTCTCATGTGAGTCTTAAGATTTCCTTTTCGTGAGAAACTCTTCCCACACAGTTTGCAGGTGTACGGGCACTGTCCAGTGTGAATACTCATGTGGGCATTAAGGATTTTTTTCAGTGTAAAACTCTTTCCACACTGAGAGCAGGTGAAAGGTCTCTCTCCAGTGTGAACACTCATGTGGGCATCAAGCTTTGTTCTGTCAGAGAAGCTCTTTCCACACTGTTGGCAGGCGAAAGGCTTCACTCTGGTGTGAATTTTCATGTGCCTGTTAAGGGTTTGTTTGAGACTGAAACTCTTTCCACACTGATGGCAGGCGAAAGACTCCACTCCGGTGTGAATTTTCATGTGACTCTTAAGGGATTTTTTGTGACTGAAACTTCTTCCACACTGTTGGCAGGCGAAAGGCTTCACTCCGGTGTGAATTTTCATGTGACTGTTAAGGGTTTTTTTGTGACTGAAACAGCTTCCACACGGTTGGCAGGTGAAAGGCTTCACTCCGGTGTGAATTTTCATGTGCATGTTAAGGGTTTTTTTGTGAATGAAACTTCTTCCACACTGTTGGCAGGTAAAAGGGCTCTCTCCAGTTTGAACGTTCATGTGGCCTTTAATGTTTCTAGTTCCTTCGTTTTGTGAGGACGTCTTTACAATCTTTGAGTCGCTAAAATCTTTTTCTCCAGTCATGAACTGATGAGGTTTCTCATATTGATATTCTTCTTCCATATCATTGAGATCTTGACTCTCCTCTTTCAGTGGCACCAGGTCTAAAGCGGAAAGAAACATATACAATTTAACCCCAGTTTAATGGCACATAGCAACAAACAAGA